TAATAATAATACAAAAATCCCTCTTCCGGAGTCTGCCGCAGTGTCTCCCCAGTGGCAGGGCGGTAGAACGTGGGTTCTGGGGTCTGGTAGGGGTGTCATCACTGTCAGGCTTTTCTTGAGAAGCTACGGTAGAGCTCCACCGGCCCGCAGGTTAGGAATGGTGGTCCAGCGAGCGAGTTCTCAGACAACCGTGTAGGTCTTTTTTTTTTTTTTTTTTTTTTTTTTTTTAATTCTTCCCAATCGCGTAGGTCTGGCTTCTTCCGCGTCACCATGATTTTGCAGAGAATGCTGTGCTATTCAGGGGGTTGGTCCCCTCTGTTTTTTTTCCCACCCCGTAAGCGAAACTGGGTATGGGTAAGGCTCCCAGCTGGTGCCGCTACAGGTAGTTGGTCCCGTCCGGGTTTTTTCACCCCGTAGGCGAAACTGGGTAATGCTCCCAGCTGGTTCTTCCGGGCAGACTGTGAGGACCCCGGCCTCAAAAGTTTTTTTTAACTGTGGGGGGAGCTGCCTTCTTCTTCTTCTTTTTTTTTTTTTTTTAATTAGCTGCCTTCTTTTTTTTTTTTTTTTTTTTTATAATTTTTCTCTCACCTCACATATTACTAATTTTTAACTGGCGTTCTGGCATGTCATCATGGAACATATCTTTTTTCCCCACTTTCACTACCTACCTACCACTACTGCTAAGGCTATACAGGGGACCCCTGCAAGCAAGCATAGCTTTCTCTCTCTCTCTTCGGTGAAGGGAGGTTTGGAAATACACTGCGAATTCGTTTAAAAAAAATAAAAAATAAAAAATACTAGTAATAATAATTTTAAAAAAAATCTGGCGCAGTGTCGCTTGTGAACCCCCTGTTGCCAGTTCTGCCGGAATGACACGTGTCACGATTGTCACAAAACGACACGAGCCAAGTGGCAAACGTGAGAGGAATTTATTTATTTATTTATTCATTTATTTATTTATTAATATTATTATTGTAATTTTTTTTTACGTGAGAGGAAATTGTCACTCTGCACTCTTCCTACGAAGAAGAGCCAGAAAAAGAAGATGATGACGATGATGATGAGGTGGCCGAGGAAGAGCAGGAGGAGGAGGAGGACAAGTCACTTGATGAAAACTCTCTCTAGAGACTCTTCACCCGTCTTGCGGTGGCACCGTTGGGCGAAGAGACACACCCTTGCAATTTCCGTTCCTGCCCCTTCCTTCACCAGAAAGCAGTGACAACATTCAAAAAAAAAAAAAAAAAAAAAA